TTTTTACTGGATGTTGGACATATTCTTTGGGATAAATATTTATTTCATCAATTTTGGTATTATTTAAGTTAAAGTAGTTTATGTTCAAAAGTTCCTCTTTATTTAAATAATAGAAGTACATTTAGAGTTTTACTTTGTCAATTTAGAAGTTTTTTAGGAAAAAGATGAATTGTGTTCTATACAATCTAAATTTTCTTTCTATTTAAACAAGAAGTTCATAACAAAAAATTTTATTGTCTCTGTACGAATCCAATGTATAGATTTATTACTTGAGACAGTTTACACTGTGATAGCATCTAGGCGTGTTCCTCATTTAATAGATAGTGCGTTAAATCTTTTAAGATATATCGTGGAGTCCAATTTCCTAAAATACTAAATGTTGTATATCATATATATATATAATAGGTACCTCTTGGGAACGGGATAGGGGTCGTGGTGGTAGCACCTCCACACCCTAGTCACCATATTGTAGTTTTCATTTCCATTGACACCATCTTACTAACATCTTAAAAAAACTAATTCCAGAACTATTTGGATAGGGCCGGTCTTCTCCACTGAATTACCTGATGATTTTTTTAATATTAAAAATAAAAGTTTTTAAAAAGAAAAACATATTCTAAATTTTTTTCGAAAGATCATGACAAATATGATATTAGGTTTTCTACAATTTCTTCAATTCCTTTAAAACCATTGCATTAATGCGCTATGGGGGCGCAAAAGTCGGTCGATCGTTAGTTTCTTTATTAGAGCCCCAGAGTGCATATAATGCCATTATTATTGGCGCTTATGCATCCATATCGACATGCATAAGCCCTAGTTAGGACACATCTTAACAGATAATCGGTTCTCCATGTCCATTTATGAATAAAAATTAGGTCCACTATTCATGGGTTATAGCCGTTTTTCCATTTCGGATAATGCTCTAAATATTTCTCCCACCTATTTAATGTAGAAATATGAGAAATGCCTTTATTTCTAAAGGGTGTGATTTATATAAGTTTACCTTATGTACGTAAATAGGGTTTTGATACGTTCATTTTATTTTGGATGGTATATATTTGTCACATCTTTTTAAAACAGTATCAATACATGATACGTCTTTTAAGATTGTGTTCAATCTACACCGTCTAAATAAAGTGAATGGTGAAAATTTAATATAACTTTATTTCTACAAATAAGAATGCAACCATATATAAACTTTTCTTTTTTAAAAAACAAATATGGTAATCTCCAAACAAGGGCCTAATACACAACATGTATTGTACGCCATAGTACATAACAGTGATTTAAAAAGCGCCAGCTTAGCACGAAATTACCCCGTTCGACCCAAGATTCAGTCATCCCATTCCGATTCTGTGTATATATAAAAAAATGGCCATGTCTAGAAGGGAATCGGCGGTTTCCTATAGTAAAACGATGATTCTATACAGTAAAGCGGCGATTTGGACCGCAATTCACCAATCTTGACTGGTTTTTAGCCAGTTCACTGTTTTCACGTGTTTTTTTTGTGGTTCATAATTTTTTTTGCATAGTAAATCGATGATTCAGACCGTTGATTCACGGATTCAGGCCAGTTTTTGGGGGCCCCGAACCGGGACACCAATCTATTTTAAAGAAAAATGGTTTGCAAGGGCTGGAGCCCTATTAAAATAAGTAAATCCTCAACTCATAACTCATCGAAAATTGCAAGTCAAGCATTGGAAAACCTTTACATTGATTATCTCAGTTTGAATATTAATTCAAGCTCTAAAAATAATGTATATTATAAAAAATTATCTAGACCATTTATTTTGCCTTAAAATTAAGCGTTCACAATTCCGCAAGATCTGTGCCATTGTTTTTTAAATTTCATTGTCAATGTTGGAAATTGATTTTGGAGCCATCATAGATATAGTCGCCAAAAGTACTTTCCGAACGAGAATATGAGGTGAGACTTTATTTTGTTTTCATAAAGCTTAGGCCTTATAGAAACCTCATCCGTTTTTTAAAAAAAATTGTTTCATGCAGCAGGGACCGCTATTCTACATTTACGGTCCCCCGAGGTATAAAGCATCCTTCTTAAAGGTGGATGCAAATAGGTGATCCATCTAAAAATAATTGAAACTAACAGTCCAAATGTTTTCATAATAGATTTATTGTTTTTAATTTTTAAAAATTATTTATTTTTTCATGCTCATGATCTCCATGTTAGAGTTTACAAAAATAAAATTTTAAAAGATGACTCATTTCTACATGAACTCATAAACCGTGTCCTTTTTAACTCAGTTGTCCATCTTTCTCCCACTAATAACCCCTTATGGTTGGTGGCCTCACTAATTACCTGAGAAACCGGAGGTAGCACACTAGTACGTCATGAATATGTTACTCTCTATGGAAAGTGGAAAATCATGTGTTTTTTTATTTTTGCTACTCTTTTTGGACTATGGGAAGTGTAAAAGCGAGTATGTTTTTTATATTTGCTACAGTTATTGGCCACTTATTCTTCAAATATTTTGGAAATGTTCAATTGAGGTCCTTATGGATCCCCCTTGAACGTACTTTGTGCGCATCCCACCTCGAACCTCAAATAAAAAAAAGAAGAGCTAAACTACACCACTAATCTTAAAAGTACTTATTTTTGTATTTAACCCCTGAGTAAAAAAGAAGTTTATTTAGTACAAAGATACCCACTTACAATGCACATTTTTTTTTTCAAGGAAAAAAGTCAAACGAGCATTGTGTCGGATTGGCTCCGTTTCAAACAATGTGTCGGTTTGACACATATTGTGTCGGATTGACTTTATTTTTTCAAATAAAATCGTTCGGGCATAAAGTGTGTCGGATTGACATATTATTTAAAATGAAGCTGGTCTAGCACATAACAAGCACATCGCTTAAATTGACACCTGTTTGATACACACTGTGCCGGATTGATATCAATTAGAAAAATGAGATGGGTTAGAGAAAGGTGTGTTATAAGGGGGTTTATTTTCGTCCTAAAAGAAGCTACCTTTGCAATTGAGGGGTAAAAACAAAAATAAATAATTTTGGCGTTGGTGTGTGGTTTACATTGTATTTGTTTTTGTTTTTTTTTTGTGTGGTAGGGGTTTGGGGGATGACTAAAAAGTGGGGTCAAGGGGTATCCATAATTTCCCAATAATTACGATGAGCAAGTATGAATGGCCTAAAAACAAGTTGAAAAATAATTTTTTATAATCTTCTTTAGTTTTTTAAATAAGTTGAAAAATAATTTTTTATAATCTTCTTTACTTTTTTGTATGGGTGCGGTTTGTATAAGGTTGCAAAATTTTATCACAAGATATAATTTTAGCTTAAAATTTTTTTAGGATGGACCGAGAATCTATTTATAAACTTTTTAAAGTCCAAAAATGGTTCAAATCAAGTACATCTATGAACACATGAAAATCATAGAAATAGACGGTCAAGATACTGTGTTGCAAGATGCACTATTTTTGAGACTGGAATTTTTTTTTTTTTTCTTTCACAAACCTCGATATCAAAACGATCAAGTAGAGGTTTTTTGCAACATCAAAATAGCATTTTCTTATGGGTTTTTAAGGTGCACCTTAATTCTACATTTTAAGGTTGTATCCTTATATAAACTTTTTCCTTGTTATATACATGATTGTGGTAGTCAAGATTTTCAGCCTATATGTGTTCTTCTTCAAAATAATTTCATGTTCTGAATGTATCACCTTTTGGTGGAATTCCTGTGGGAAAATGGTCTTTAACAGTGATAATCCAGTCACAACCCTATATCCTTTTTTCTCGAGAGGAACAAAGTTATTGAAGAACTGAGTCATGGTGATATTTTGTATTGCAAGGAGATAAACTGGACTCAAAAATAAAAAGCAACACAATTGAACTTAAACACTCGTAAAATACACTAAAAGAACCAACACCACATTCCCACCATGCTTTACATAATGCATATAAGAGACTCGACAAATAAACTTACTATTACAGAATGCATATAAGAGACTCGACAAATAAACTTACTAGTACAGAATGCATATAAGAGACTCGACAAATAAACTTACTAAAAACAGAAAAAAAGAAAAAAAGAAAAAAAGAAAAAAAAGAGCAAAAGCACCATTTGATTAATGTGTTATTTGGGGCACTAAAGTCGGCCAATCCTTGTTCTTTATCAGAGCCTCAGAGTGCATACAATACCAGTGGTATTCGTGCTTATGCATGCATCTTGTTCTGCCTGTCCATTGACGTGTAAAAATTAGAATGTTTGATCTACTATTCATGGGTTAGAAAATCTTTTTCTCACCTATTTAAGCCAGAAAAACTGGAAATATCTTTATTTATGTAAGGTGTAATTTGAATATGGTTTTCTTATTTATAAAAATAAAGTTAAGGTATTCTACACCGTCCACTTTATTTGGACAAGATATAGTTGACACATCTTTTAAAACAGTCTCAATGCAAGATACATCTTTTAAAATAGCGTACATTAGTGTTCAATGTACACTGTCCAAATAAAATGGATTATGTAAATTTAATACAACCTAATTTCCACAAATAAGAACACAACCTTATATAAACCTTTCCTTTTTAAAAAAATAAATATAGTAATCTCTAAAATAGGGCCTTGCACACAACATGTATTGCATACCATTGTACATAATAGTGATTTAAAAAATGCAGGTTCGAGACATAATTACCTGGTTCGACAACGGTTCAAGTTCGACTCAAAAAAACAATTGTGCATTATAAGCGGAGTATTTTTGTCCTAAATATACTTCCTTTTTACTGGGCCCAATATTACACCACTTAATTTGAGCCATCCGTTTCTTCTATAACCAATTTTTTTATTAATCTAATGGAGAAAACATGATCTTACTCGTTTTTTTTTTTAAGATAGATTGAGAAGTAAACTTTTTGTTCTTTTTTTTTAATTTTTTTTTATTTTTTAAATGTCATGTTAATTAAGTACGGAAGTGCTACCACCACGACGCAGCCTCTTACCTAAAATTTTGCCAATAAGAGTGTTGTATGACCACTATTAGCCGTAGGATCCCACTTCTATATCCCCCTGTACGGATGCCTCCGGGACCACCACTCTATAAATTGCATGGGACTTGGTTCCTCTTTACAACCAAGAGACTAAGCCCCAAGTTTTTAAGCATTGGTCCTAGGTTTTACTTCTTCTTATTTGAAATGGGGAGCGATTTTATGTGGGTTTTTGGGTTAATTCTCTATTTTTTCATGGTTTTTGAGGGTTTAGTGGTTAATGGGCAGAGAGTGAAGTTCTTTATTTTTGGGGACTCACTTGTTGATGCTGGTACAAACAATTACATTAATACCTCCAAGAATCATCAGGCGAATTTCCTCCCCTATGGAGAAAATTCCTTCTTTGCAAAGCCCACAGGCCGTTTCTCAGATGGGAGAATCACACCAGATTTCATAGGTCAGGCTTTTTCCATTTATTCTTTGATCTTTGAACTTCTGAATTCTTTTAATTTATGTTAGTAAATTTTATTTGGGAATTTTCATATTTTGATTTTTTTTAGTGATTTACACCATCAGGGGAATTTCCTCTACTAGCTATTTTTTTTTAGCGAATTTTTGTTGTTAGTAGAGCAATTCTCATGCTTTAAGGTACTGCTCTATTAACCAAAAAAACTCAAAGAAAAATTCAAAAATTGGGTTGCCTTATGGGCAATTTTAAAAAAAAGAAAAAAAAGATGGGTTGACCGACATTCTTTGTAATTTCCACCTATAAAAGAAATTTTTTTTGTATAAATTATTTTTTTACTTTTTATTTTTTGGGATAAGTTTTTTAGGTGCTAATGTTCGTTTTCAACCACTCCATCAATCTTAAAAATTTTATGAGTGATTTTCTTTTGGGTGTGGTTAACTCAAAGGCTAGATAAAACCCCACCTCAAAACGTAGTCAGAAAATGCAATTCCAACGTGGAATACCCTTATTACAGTCTGAAAATATATTTTCGACAATGAAATTTGGAGCTCCAAAACGAAACAATCCAGATGCCATCCTACACTATTTCCTAGAGCTTGAAATCCATTTTCCAAGAGTCACACTTGTCTGTCATCTTTGAGAGGATAAATTGGATATTATTCTGGTGTCCGAAAGGCAATTTCTGGCAAGATTTGAACCACGACACTAAGTTTTTTTAAGCTAATATTAGCTTTCGACCACCCCAAAATTTCTTGAAACTTTTATTATTGCTTCTCATATTTGCCTGTGCATGAACAGCTCTTTCATCTTCTCTTCTGTAAGGTAGACAAATATAAAGCTATTTGCCTTTCATCTTCTCTTCTGTGAGGTACACAAATATAAAGCTATTTGCTCAATTTCTTTTGGCTATTACATAAATCTCTCTCTCTCTCTCAATACATTCATGCACAAACACACACATCACACCATCCTTGGTATGACTTTTCCTTTTTCCTTATGTTGCCACTCAAACGCCAACATCAAGTGAATAAATAATCACACACACCACACGTCCTCAGAGTAAGAGCACACAAACCTTACATATTTTTTTTCATGGTGGCGCCTTTGTTCTTTCTTGGTGTTCTAGGCTTCCCCACTTTTGACTTTTTGCCTTTTTCTTTATGTTGTCACCCACTCTTAGAGAGAGATTGATGCAAAGTTTAAACAGCTTTGGACGGTGGCGATTAACATAAAGAACATACAATAACACCATATACACAATCAAGCAACCAAATTTCCATGCGGCGATTGATGCACCCCAGGGGTTATGCTACAGTATGCTTCCTCAGGAGCATAATATCCCTTCTCATAAATTGATATCAATTGTTTTTTTTTTTTCTCATAAATAAATAATGAATTTTAAGCATCGCATCATCGTTTGCATGAGAAGATCTCAAGGCATGGCTGGTTTTGGCGTTTTATTCAGTCCCGAATTATGTATTGGGATTGTATATAATGAGACAATTTACCTTTGATGCAAGGTTATTACCATTCCTTACAACTATTTGATGTGAAATTTGATAGTTTTGATGTGTCATAAAGCTCGAAAATATTTCTTTTAAAGTTTGAGCTTGGTCAATAGAATAACTAATGGTGTATTTAGAATTTTACCATACATGGCACTACTAGTAACCTTACATATATATAGGAAAAATATTTTATTTGATGTGGGACGTAATCCCACATTTACGTCTCACACATCAAACATCATTCATATTAAAGATGCATGCCAAGTGGTGGTCCCTAAAAAAAAACAAACAAAAATTATATATATATGAGTAATGATCCTATGAAACCCTCCTACACCCATGTGTGTAGGATCCCAAAAGATCACCATTAAATTTGGCACAGATCTCTAGAAAAGTTATCACATGAGTGTGAGACTTGACTTTTCTAGAGATCTG